GAAGGTACCTGCAAACACAACGAATAGCAACACACCTGTATTGGCGGGCGTTAGTAAATGCCAATCAATAGCCATAAACTGCATCCATCCGACAGGCAGCATGATCAGGAAGCCGAACGTGAATACCCATCGAACAACTTGCAGCGGTGTATAACGCTGCATCAACGGTTTTACCAGGATAAAATAGATCGCGTAGGAAATGCCGTTTAACAAAATAAAAATATCACCCAGCAGGTAATCCTTTGGTTGTGTACTTGTTTGTTTGCCTGCAATCAGCCACGCAGAGCCGATGATTCCAAGGCAGAGCCCAATGATATTCAGCCATCTAACCCGTTCTTTAAGTATCCAAAATGCAAGCAGGGTGATTAAGATCGGCGAACATAGCATTAACAGCGAAGCATGAATCGCGGTTGTCATTGTCAGCCCTTTGATAAACAACATTTGATTGAGTGCTACACCGAAAAGCGCGCAAAGAATCAACCTGCCCACATCATCCCGGCGCAGTGCCGTTTTATTTTTTGCAAAAAGCCACAATAACCAGAAAAGCAGCAAACTGCCACCAACGCGGATAATATTAAGCGCATAGGGCCCAATCGGGGACGGGGAGATATACTTTACAAAACTGTAATTGATGGCGAAAAACAGGTTAGTCGCCAGAACGGCTATATGGGCTTTAAGATTATTTTTCAGGAGTAAATAAATAAGATGCGAAGGTAAACGCTTATTGCCTAATGAAAGTGGCAAGCATTTGTTCAATTACTTTTTCCAATGAATCATTGGTAGAGACAGGCATGAAGTTATATTCGAATTGCCGCGCACGGGCCACTACATCATTCAACTTAAAATTCTGTTGTTGACATACGAGTCCCCATTTTTCTTTTTGAAGATGACGTCCGAGATATTCCTGTTCCGTTTGTCCCGGGGTGGGCACGAGGATACTTTTCTTCTTCCATGCCGCAATATCCATGATGGTGCTGTAGCCACTTCGACTGATAATGAATTCAGCCCTGGCTGCTTCAGCCTGCAGATCAGCCGAAGGCAAATGATTATAAAAACGGATCGAGTTGGTCGATGGGATCATTTTTGCTGCGGCGGGCACTCCACGAATGATTGTAGCTGATCCCGGGTAATGAGCAATCTCGTTAATAATAATGTTCTCAAAAATGGTGCGTTGTGGTTCTGGCCCCGAAAGAATAAAGAGAAGATGCCCGCGCATTTCTCCGGTAACGGATGTAAAGCGTGTTAAAGGACCGACGTAATGAAGTGGAATATGGGGTGTTTTAACAGGATGCGAAAGCTCGCCGGCAAAGTTCAATGGACCGGCGACATCGGGCACCCAGCAGGAATGGAATTTATTGATGTAACTGTAATTGATTCTTTGGAGAATATTTTCGGACCATCTTCCCATTGGACTTTTTATCAATAGCTGATGAGTGATAAACACGCTGGGAATAG